AATCAGTTGATTTGGTTTTAAAGGAATATAGCTGTTTGCGCTCGATGTTCCGCCTCCTGTATCGCGAATTGCACTCTGTGTTCATACTTTGCGTCAGCGTTTTAGGCGCACGGCAGCGTATTGAGCGACTAAGAAAGTGTAGAGGTCGATCTAGCATTTTGAGCGTACGCCAGCGTTTTCAACCACTGCCCGCGAAACGCTCAAAACACGATCGTGAGCTGGAACGCTAGATCGATTCCTATAATCGATTCGTAATAGCTTAAAAAGCTGCCGTACGCTGGCGTACGCTTAGAACGCTGACGCAAAGTATGCACGCAGCCTAAGGCATTAAGCCTTGTTTAAGAACTGCTGACAACCGTAGCTTAATTTCGGCAAACAGCATCAGGGTGTCATAATCGACTGATCAATTGATTCTACGATCTCACACCGGTTTTATTTGGGACTGCCTTTCGCCTTATTCAAGATATGACAATGACAATTCGTAATTACGATCCCATTTTCATAACCAGAACAGCTGACGAGCTATCGGTTGTGATCTAACCGTGATCCTCATAACTCACAACAGGTGAAAACAACTTATCAATTGCGGAATTTGCCGAAAGGACGTCGCCATATAAGGGGCATAAGACGCAAGGTATCATGACCTATTTGACTTGACATGTTGTTCGCAGCGAGGCTGAGGCGTGTAAACGAAGCTGGTTTTGCCGCGGAGCCAACTCGTTCTCCACCAATTGTTGTCGTTTGCCCTGGTTCCACAACTGATGGCGAACTGGCCAGCGCTGCAACGAACTTAGCCTCCCTGACACGCTCCAGCATCAGCAGTGACTAAAACTGTATGCCCACTCAACCAGCTCTAGAAATACGGTAAGCAGTTTCCACGCCACTGCTGTGCCTCAAATGCCCTGAGTTACACCTATCCGAATATTCAGGTGCTGCTAATTATATTGAACTTTTAGGATACTCTTCCATGAAATCATTGACACACAATAGCGCATCACATGTGTGCCCGTTTTTAGTCTCGGCGCATTCATTTATCGAAAAACTCGCGGAAGAACGATGACCTTTGATTAGTGAACCCAGTTACACCATCCCAAAATTATTGCTGGGTAGTACTCCCTTGAGAATAAATGGTTCGGAAATTTAAAAACTAACTAGGGGAATTTTGACCACGAGTTCTTTTGTTGAAAAGTGAGGGTTCCTGGAAAAACATGGAATTTTTCATCTGAAACTCCACTTTTACACTTCAGGCTGATAAAAGTACGTTCTCAAGGCTCAGAAATAAGAAAAAAAAACTGCCCCAAATCATAAAGAGGTTCAGTTAGTATTAAGAACCCTCTCTCGAGATACATCCCCCTCAATATCCCAAAAGGCAAATCGTTGTTCAACACAACGAGTCACTCGACCACTTATGTATTCGAGGAATACTATTCGTGGGCAACATTGCACTTGATATCGCCGTCAAGGACTCATAACTCAACGAGAATGGCGCTCACCTGACCGCCATTCATTTTTCTGTATGGATCCTCGTCACATGGTTGTGCGTACTGTCCCACATGTCCCATAGCTGTCATCTGACCGTTTCCATTTCCTGATGGGCCTTGCATTACATCGTACTGTCCTGCTCCATTATACTGCTAAACGAAGACCTTGGTTAGCCAAGACACAACCAGTTTCTTAAATACACAACTTGATCGAAAACCTTACCAGCATTTTCTTAAAATAACCACACCAATCGCAACCTTACCCGAGAAGTCCGCGCAACGCATGAAAACTTGAGCAGACCTGGGTAAATTCGGTTTTAACTCCATACGGTATTACAAGATATACCATAGCAAAAGCTGGCCAACGTCACAAGCAACTATGAGCAGGTAAAATTGTTGCAATGGGTGCCGTAGGGGTGGAGGCGTGGGTGTGGCCAGCTGTGGAAGGCATTAATGGGAGGAATCGCATACGTCGAATCGAGTCGTCGAACGTCGAACCTTACCACTGAAACCCACTCGATTCGACGTATGCGATTCCTCGCTTATGCTTCACAGCTCACCACCAAGCCTCCACCCTACTGCACCATTACAAACTTTACCTGCTCCAAGTTGCTTGTTGGAAATGAGGTAGCCAGTTTCGCTTTCTATATTTGTAAAAACAACCTAAGTAGAGTCTATTGATAACCAGGTCCCAATCAAGTGTCGCGTGATAAGTTTGGCGGACTTGCCCGGTAGAGTGAATCCCTTTTGTCTGCGGATGTGGCAGGTCCGGATAAGCCGTGGAAAGATCGCATCCTGGCCAGTCCTGAAAGGAGAGCATCCCCGCCATTCGAAAAAACGCAGTGATGAAGTTAGGGGGTGCGGTAGTTGTGTCTTTTATGTCTCCGCACAGTCTCCTATGTCCCCGCCCAACGTTCACTATGCCATCACACTTAACAGCCACATCGCGCACGCCCATACGGCAGCTATACCAGATAAGTGCAAAGCGCAATGTATGGTTAAGCATGAGCGCGCGGGGTATGGCGTGTCAGTTGAGTGCGCACTGCGTGACGAAGATGTGGCGGGGACAGCAAAGGGACATTCAGACCCCGACTGCTCTACTGCGGCAGCGTTTCTCACGACGAAACTGCTACCGCTTTACGGCTGTGGACCTACACAACCACATAAGGGGGGACCCATCTCTCGGATAGTGTATCTTTAAGGATTTCCTAGATTCCTTCCGGATCCAGTTCAACACTCCACATTAAAACTTAAACACGACATGGAAACGCAACAATCCAACGATTTACCTTCCTATTCACGTAGTAACCTTGTTGTGGTAGCATATACAATCCACCATTATCTTGAGCTGATGGTGGGCCACCTCCTCCTATTTGCATTCCACCCATTTGGCTAGTCATAGCATTCACGTCATACGCTGTAATTACACGTATCAACGTAGGAGGACACATTCCAACTGATTAGATAAAAAGGTCATTAAAAGAAACAGAATAAGACGTGAGGATAATATCATCCAAGGGCGGCCCAAAATGTCGAAAATTGTACGACGCTTGCAGCACGCCCCGCTTGAAAAAAAATCGATTTAGAGGGTAATATTACTACGTGTAGTTCCGCTGGGCGGACGGTTGGGCGTGTCAATGCGGCTGCGTTTGGCGCGGTGCCAAACTCGTTCTGCACCAGTTGTTGAAGCGGGCAAGTGACAATACTGTATCATATCCTTCGTATTACTCGTTTTCTACCACTTTTTGTCGCATGCGCGTTTCAGGAAGAAAGCAGAGAGTAGGCTTTGACGGGGTGACACACTCATTCTGGCCTCGACACGCCCAACCGTCTGTAAGCGAACTAGAGTGGGTACAATCAGGCAGTGGGCTCGTCGGGCGCAGTTCGCCAACGGAGGGCAAGGCGATAGGACAATTTACAGCTTGCTACTGTACATCGATTGCTGTCGAAGCCATCGCCTAGGGGAGGCTATTTCGTGAGCTTACAAGTGTTGACAGGTTCTCCCATGGTGGCTCGACGAACTTGCTTCAGCTTCACAAGGTTCACAGGTTTTACAAGAGCAGGACTTTTAAACTGGAACTGAAAGCCAGCAAAAAGTGCAAAATGCCCGTTCTCCGCCGCCAAACTGCGCCAATGTCTGTTACACTACTACTAAGAGGTAACCCTTTTATCCCTCGTCGTAAAGTGGCTCCAGTTAATTGAATATCTCAGAAAATGAGTACACCCTCCACCACCCAACCGTGCTGGCTCGGCCTCTCAGTCACCCTTTTCGCTCGGGTTAAAACGGGGGAGTAGAAAGAATATAATAGAAACGAAATGAAAAGTAGAAACTCACGTGTGTATCCCGTGACCTGTTGTGGATAGCCCATGCTATAGTTTACGTATGGTGTTGGATACATTTGTGGCATTCCACCCATGTTTCTCATATAGTCCTTGAGCAGTCATTGTGAAAGGCTGAAATGTTCAATCTACTGGCCAAACTAGCGGTGCTGAGCAGTGAGGAGCGTTTACACTTCGCGAAGGGATCCCCAAATAATGAGAAAAAAGATGCGCAAAGTATAGGTATCTGTTTCGAATCGGGGACAATGGGCGCAGAAGAAAGCGGTTTTGGTCGACCCGGGCAAGGGGCCTGTCAAGCGGGATGGGTTTGGCGCGGTGCCAAAACCGTTCCTCACCGGCTGTTGAAGCGAGCAAGTGACAAGGCGGTATCACATGATTCGTAACCAGTCGTTTCCACCAGTTTGTTGTCGCTTACCACCCATTCAGTAGCGCAATTGGATCCCATATCGTGTCAGGCAAGGAATGGGGAACTCGGCGCGCGCCATACCGCATCCTGCGCTGAAACGTCCTCTTCGTCCGCGGCGACTAAGGTTGTTCAAGAATCGATCGATTTTCACCCTCACAAAGTATGAACGCAGCAGTAACCACACCTACCTGACTCGGATAAATTCCCAATTCAAATCCCATATCACTTCTTTTACGAGTGTTCTTTCTGCCGTATCCGCTTGTTTCACTAGTAGTGGAAGTTGGCGATTATCGTCCCGATACCTCAATTAACTTTGCAATTCAAAAGCGCAATGATCATCCCTGCGCACTTGCCTGAAAAATTTCGGCAATTCGAAACGGCAACGAAAATTAAGAATATGGCTCAGAGGGGACAGGAAAGCGAGAAAGGACGTGCCTTCGAGTCCATTCTGGCAAACCCAACACCACGAGAATTGCCGTCAGCATTTCGAAGAATCCTCGTCGATATCACCATTCCATAAGGACTAAGCGCATTTTCAAGCATTTGTTCGTTAAAATTTGACGGTAGATTCGCAATATAGAGGTTCGTTGGATCTTGTTCTTGCTGCTTTTATTTTTTCTCCGCAACCGCCTCGCTTCCCACACCACGCACCACCCAATCAGATGAAAGCACTATCACCAAGAAAACGGCAATGCTGAGTGTTACCATATGAAAGAAAGGAATTCAATAATTTACCTTCGGCCATTGCGCTGAATCATTCTGGTGAGCATCTTCTACGCCGCTCGTGAAGCGGCTTCACGGCTTTCGAAGTCGACGAAACCATAGCCTTTGCATTGATTTAGAGCCTTATCCATTATCGCCTGTCAACATAAAGACTGAGGAATTCGAAATAATATCCGAGAATATGTAAACGAATCTATTTTCGATACAAATACCCTGTGAAGATATATTTAGATATCATTCTGCAAAACTGGGACTGCCGTAGTACAAGGAAAACCACCTTTTCCACAGATTTGTACTTTGTATAATTTTTATGCTACTTGTAGGAAAAAAAACGCCAGCGGAACGGTTTCGCCTGCCCCCTTCCAACGGTGCTTCTTGCTTACAAACAACCTCAAGCTGACAGAGTAAAAGCAGCTCGCCTAAGACAGAGATGAAACGAGTTATTCTTGCTTGAAGTAGTTTTCCCCAAGACATTTCGGTTCCTTTTTTTTATCTCTTTTACGGCAAATCCAGCACTGCACAATGAGTCATCGGTGACACCTCCCCCCTCCCCGCGCCTAAGCATACTTGACCTCTACATGTAAATTCTCTAAATGTTCTCTTCAGCGGTGATGCCGATAAAAAAATTCGCTTTTTTACGTGGACACTGGACCGTGAGATGAACGAACGTAACGCACCAGACTGTGAGATCAAGGCTTTCTATTAGCGGTGCACTTTCACTAAGGAATACAACTCAAATACCTCCGCAGTACCCCCGGGCTAAGTTTATACTTCGCGACTCGTGCCACTCAGTCACGCGAACTGAGAAACGCGCTGCTGTGACTGATTGCGTTCCTCCTTGCAATGGCAGGTCCGCTCCAACTGCTAACTGAACTAAACAAGACTCATTCCGAATTTTGCACCGGTCTAGCGGTAAGCGGTGAAGAGCGTCAGTCGCAATCGCGCGGTCAAATCGCTCCAGTCGCGAAGTAGAAAGGCGGCCTTACTGAGTTCTCAACCCTGGCTTCTGTTACTCGGACCCTTAGGTAACTGTCTTTGAAAATGAGGACATATGGAAGCATTCCGAAACACTGAACGAGCTTATAGAAACCAATCAAGGACAATCAAAAGCGAATAGCTCACGGACTTTGAACTGTTTTCGAAGCTAACATTTCATACACTGCACTTAAGGATGAACAGCAATTACCATTTTAATGGAAATGATTGCACTTTATTTTCATTTCTTATTGTATTTCATCAGAACCAACATTTTATCGAATCTTAGGGGGTAAATTTTCTTCACCTTTGTAGATGTGATCGTTCCATACTGAGCACACATTTTTCGAAGATCTTCATCGGTTGTGCTTGGACTCAGGCCACGTATGTAAAGATTCGTCTGAAATGTGAGGACTGTGAGTAATTACTCAAACGATTGATCTAGGGGTAAGAAATGCTGACCATATATTACTATTACTACTACTTAATATTACTAACTTTCTCCTCCCACTTTTGCAAACTCATGAAAATTAAATGGCGCGACGGTGTAAGCATTCATATATAATTCACTGCTACTAGAATGATAATAAAACCGTTGCAAATTGGGAACATTTCAGAATCAGCCACACTTGCAGCAGTGGTCCACAGCCCGATAAATAACGTGTAGGGACGGGAAACCGTGGGTAAACAATGGCGTGGGTAACCTTGAAAGCTAAATAACATTTGAAGAACTCTCTATTCCCTTCGTGAAAATCCTACTTACTAGTACTTCCAAGGATTAGCTTGAAATCAGTACGGCACGCTTTGGCTTGGAGCGGGGGGGGGTATTTTGCACTCTCGCTACGTCCCGTTGTCGTGTTCACTGCTTCACGAGAGTTGAGAGGTACTTTTGCAAGATCTGACAAATGACCTCTACAAACTTTAACTAGTATCACTCCAAGGTTGTGCAAGATTTCACAGGTCTCCACTTGATGACCCGACACGAAAATGAAAGAAGTAGCGAAAGTGCAAAATGCCCCTCCTTAGACTAACTGCGGCTCTCAACCGGTCCGAGGAGCCGTACTACACCAGTCTGTGAAATTAACTAAAGCTTACCGAACTAAGCGGCGTTCCATCTTGCAGCGGAGTGTCATCCCTTGGAGGTGCTGCATACGAGGTTCGCGAATCAACACCGCTCATCCGCATACCACCGCTGAACATGTTATTGTTGCCTCCTGATGGTCGTCCAGAACTCTAAAGAATAAATTTTAGCAGACTTAAAGTTAAAGCAAGAAAACCAAAAACGCTCGGATAATAAAAACTATAAATGTGGGAGCACTCACGTATTGTTGAAACATATTTCTGGATGGTGGTGCTTGTCCGTTTTGTGCCATACTGTTATTATAACTATTATTTCCGTACTGTTGTTGCGGATTTTGTCCAGGGGACATGTCTCGCACCACCACGCCGTCACACCTCCGACTGAACATGCTGAGTTTTTATTTGGGGTTAAAAAGGAGAAAATGAGGAGAGTTCTGGGTAACTTTTGAGACGATCAGGCGATGGGGTGGGGGGGCTTCCGCTGCTTTACTAGTTCCGCAAGTAAAAAGCTCACTGTTGTGAAGCTGGAGCTAGCTCGTCAAGTCACTATTTTAAAACCTGTTAACTCTTGTAAGCTTGTCAAATAGCTCGCTCGACGTCTCGACACGTCGATGGGAAATAACAAGAGTGCGAAATGCTCCCCCCCCCCCTTCGCTGAACTGCTCCCGAACTTAAAAAAGACAAATAATGTCGTGATTGTGGTTTTCTTATAGACAATCCCCGCGCTCGACAAGTTTGTAGGCTCCCTTGTGCTAGTGCCCGTGATCTCTGTTTGTGCCTTTTTCGCGGCATCACAGTAAGCACAGAAGGCGTTATATAGCACTCGCAGGTGGCAGTTCTGACGCCTCCCTTGTAACCCCGCCCACCAAGACTCAATGGCTATTTCCTATCACTAGTTCTATTTTTACACCGCGTTTTTCACTTCACACTCCCCCTGCTAGATGGCTAGCATTGAATGACGCGAAAAAAGATCGGCGAACCAGAAGCGGTAGGATATCCCTTTGCTGGCCTAGAACGACCGGGCCCGGAGGACTCGTCTAGAGCGGCTGACAAGGAGCCCTTAGGTGCTCTTTACAATTTTTCTATGATTTTTTTCTTCCCTAGAAAGCCACTTAGCGACTACAGGTTTGCAACTGAACACCACTATTCACAATATGCAGTCGTGTGGATGGTCTTTAAAGAAATAGGGATTACTGTAGATTCGAAAATTAGGTCGCGAGGTGCGCAATCGGCACAATGCGCGCCATATTTGAATGATTAAGTAGATTTCGGACAGGAAATTACGCGCAGTACACTTTCAAGATGTTCATAGCTGTAATGAAAACGCTTACTGCTACATTATGAACCCATATCTGCGCAGAGAAACGATACAAATCAACAAAGCACAAGTCACAACGAGGGGGGTCAGTAGGTTGTCCCGGTGTTGAGGGCGCGTGATCCACGAGGAGCGCAGAGAACGAGAGTAATCGGTGGTGGCGGAAGAGAGGAGAGGCACACCACCGGCGGAACAGACAGCGAATTAGGAAAAACATCTCTCTACAGACACGAGGAAATCTCACACACACCTGAAGAGGAGAATGCAGTGGAACCGAGGAGACTCGTTGCGATGGCAACAACCTTTCTGATTAGATCCGGTCGTTAGAATCTGAAATTGGAATGGAATCTTCAGGAAACTCAAGGATAATTGAACAAAAAAATCTTCATTACGGTCAAAGATTATCGAAAATCACAGATTATTTCTCAAAGGGAGAGATAGAGGTACTTTACTGAAGAGTTTGATACGAAAGGCGTATTTCTCAAAGGGAGAGATATGAGGTACTTTACTGAAGAGTTTGATACGAAAGGCGGTAAACTGTTTTCTAGAATCAATAACCGAGAACCCTCGAACAGTACAGATGTTTTAGATGTTGGGCTGGAAACGACTAAAAAGTGGTATATGGGCCAATGTACTTTTTGTCGTTCGCGTTGAGAAGAGACTGCCCTCAATAACTGAAAAGTCGTCGTCGAACGCGCGCACGACAGTGACGGCAAAAATCGCGCGACGACATGAAAAAGATCGTCGTCGTTGGCCGTGTGGTCGAAATAGGAAGTGACTAGAGGTCACCACCGCCATCCAGCCAGCCAACCAGCCAGCCATCGCCCATCACACACAAACATGTTTAGGGCGAATTCATCGAGAACAATGTTCTCCATGCGCGCCGAGTCAAAACTGGCCGATTAATCCACAATAAGTACCCACAGCAATGAAATTACTCGGAGTTATCACTGAAAACAGCCTAATCGACCTATCAAGGGGCTCCATAATAAATGAACAAAGCTCAATGTCTCCCAAACGTCTAACTCAAAATCAAAGGAAAAACGATCCTTTGAGATAACTAGGGGGGGGGGTACCAACTGGCGACTAGAAATTTTGAAGCAAGAGAGAGAAAGAGCAGAGCCAAGAACAATTAGTTAATTGGGATCCATTCAATCGTGAGAACTGACGTCATTAGAATAGCGAACTCCGCCACCGAGTGGCAGAAACGCTAGGAACAGTGAACATCATCATTGGGGATTCCCCAACAGAGGGGGGGGAGGGAGGGTCGTACTCGCCATTGCAGCGTTGGCGAAGACGTTTTTACCCGGTTGCTGACTTTTCGCGTTTTTCCTGTTTTACATGTGCTATATACTATCTACCCCCCCCCGTTCGAAAGCAAAATTTGGGGAAAAACCAGGCAAATTTTTGGGGAATTTCGAAAAAACTGATAAGAAGTTGGAGAAAATCCAATAAACTGGTAACTTATATGGAGGGGGACTCGCATTTTCGTCGAGACTTTCACCGTTCAAGGTGCACAATAAAGCCCCACCCCTACAGCTCGATTAGAAGAGGGGACTAGGGGGGGGTCGTATGGGCGTGATCAAAATCCCCAACGTTCTTCCTTTTTGCTCCCTAACCAGGACACCATTATATGCCCTGGCTATGGAGCAAGGAGAAAGAACAAAAACGCTGACGTTGGCTGAATCCTCCCAAATACGCCATGCATTTGACACCCACAGGAAGTCATAAAGTGGTGCTCGAGTGGGCTAGTCGATTTTTGAGACAGCATTCTCATCTGAGCAAGACTGGCACTTAACGGTCGACCTATTAGGTAAGCAGCCCTTTAAATGGTCTAACCATGAAAATACCACCCAAAATTAGGAATTCGACGATGCAGGGCGCTAATAAACGTGGGGGAGGCATTGGAAATAACGTCATACAAGCAGAGTACAGAATTAATTAGCCCACCCACCTCTGTGGTCGTTCACTCCTTTAGGCTTACTAGGCCTATGATAAGGCAAAAAAATTATCTCCTTCATCAGGGTACCAATTTTACAAAAAGTCCTTTAAATGTCTCCCAAGGTTCTTAGCACCAGTTATTGCTGACGAATGTCATTGGAACTCTAGTCATATGCACTGGGAAGGATACTAACCCTTCAAGACCGAAATGCTCGTGCTGAAAGCGTAGGAACCTAAAACTCTAAGCCAAAAACAACAGTGGCCAGCAGCGTGCCACCAAAAGTCTTCGAAAAGTTTTATGAAATTATTTCCCTTATGATTCCACCTACGATTTCGTGGGACAGGACATTCTGAAGAGCATGTTTATTGAGGTAAAAATAACCCACAAGGAACTAGCCGTTATGGGTAGGGAAAACCACTCGGCAGCGCCTCTAGCGCTGACGACCAGAGATAGCCATGAGATCGCCCCAGAATACCTTTCAACCGCAAAGCTTCCCTTCCCCTCCCTTCTTTTCCTTTCTCTCTTCTCCCATCCTAATATTCTTCCCTTCAAGTGGTCAGCCAAAAGATATGATGAGACAGCAGCTCTGGACCTCAAGAGGGTATCCGGTTGACAGAAACCCTGCACCCCATGAGATAGTCTTGCAGGGAAAACAGTCTCTAGGTCAAAAAAGGGACCCACAGGCGCAAAAGTACTTTGTCAAACCCTTCCTCCATCCGACTCCGCTGGCGCTAAGTTCACAGTACTTAGCTGAAGAACTCATAATAAAAGCTATGAAACAGCTACGGACTATTTCAATATAATAAAGCTCACTTAGAACTTAAAAGCTGACATGACGGCCTTTACGAGTCCAGTCAAGGACTAGTTTAAACGAAACAAGCACATTAGCACGACCAATGATGGAGAAGCCACCAACTAGCCTTGTCAGTGCTGAAAAGTGGGGTGGGGGTGACTCATGCTCAAATGTGACGAAATCCCTAGTCAATCAAAATGTGCGTCCCCTAGTTGCTGCCACGCTACTTCTTTCTATTCTATTCTATTCAACACGACACGGGCGGGGATCATTGAGCCAAAGACAATACTGGGGAGCTGTTGAGCACCCCTCAAAGAACAGATACATTTCAAATTGTTGTAAAACATGAAGAGGCACCAAAACTTCATTACAAAGGACTACGAAGACTAACGGAACCTGAAAGTTTTTGCCATTTTTTATGCGACTAATTCGTTGAGGCAGGGATAGCCGAGTAGTTAAGAAGGTAGTCTTAAGCCCGCATGAGCCACGAGCTCGATCCCTTTCGAGACAGAAACCTCTCACCCGGTGACCTGGACCCCCCCCCTCAGCTGCTAATGACTCGCTACCCTTCCCATAGCCTCGCTCTTAAAGAATAATAATACCTTTCGAGGTGAATTACAACGAAACATGAAGGAAAAGGGAAGGCAGTTCGGCAATGGTTCGCATTTGTTACTTCCAGTCGACGTGTCGAGCCATCTAGGGAACCATTTCGAGTGCTCACAAGAGCTGACAGGTTCCACCAAAATGACTAGACAAGATTGCTCCAGATTCACAAGAGTTCACAAGTTGTAATTCGGAAGTAGTGAAGCAGCGGAAGTGCAAATGTCTCTCTCTCGCCAAACAGAGCCAGAGAAGAGCTGAAAGTAGCCAGCACCCCCAGTCCATACTAAAAATGCCTGAATACTGTAATGACAAACGGGAATGAGAACAGGTGCACGTTCTTCGAACGGTCGCGTGTAATTCACCTCTAAAATTCGCTGACTCTGTACGAGGCCTCACAATGCAGGTCGAGCGGTATGTGCGGCGGCGTTTTTCTCGACTGCAAAACTTTGGAGCGAACCAAATGCGACGTGATAAGGTCACACACAACACACATTGCTGCAAATCCAGCAGCCACTGCAAGGGAGACAAGGGAGGGGGGAGGCTGACCCACTATCCGGTTTCCTTCTAAAATAATAAGAAATCACTAATCATCATATTAAATGACAGGGGTGCACTATGGTGGAAGGGAAGCAGACTTGTTCGCCATCACCACTCAAGTTTTTGTCCCGGTCTTACGCCGGTTCCAGTTGTAATTCCGTAACCTTACTGAATCATACAACTTCAGTCGTCAAATTGCAAAACGACAACGCCCCCCAGCACGATTTGGAGCAAAAAGATTGGAGAAGAATCGGCTTCGAATGTAGGGCTTCAGCTGGAGGAGGCACACAAAGGATGACCCGCCAACAGGACGGGGGGGGGGTGTGAGTAAAGGTAACTAGGTGAGGGGCATGAACGCATATCGAAAATCATCAACATTTTCACGGAGTATGGGGGCTATAGTAGCCCGGAACAGGGCAGCCCCGCCGGGGGAGTTTTGCAAAACACGACCCTTCCCCTCAAAAGTTCCTTCTCTGGTACGCCCCCTAACCATCCACCATCCATCCTACCTATGGCCCTTCTAAATTTTCCCAACTTCCTAGCCCTTGTCCACCATTCTTTTCTGAAAATCCCTCCATTTTTTTCAAATACCAGCGAAGCGAAGGGGCATGTAATGCACTTGGAACAGGAGAAAGCGGGAAAATTCGACAACCGAAGACGTTTTTCTCAAATACAACCCCTCTTTCTCTCCCTTTAACGCAAATCCGACCCCCCTCAATAGGGATTCTCAAAATACGACTTGCACTGGCCCGAAATCTCTTCGGAAGAAGACCGCGATGCACAAGAAGAACCGAAGACGATGACGAGTATAATTAGAGAAGACCGTTCATGAGATCACATGAGACGAGAGGAAAGCACGTGCTGGCGCTTATTCACAAAGACGGGGAGGGGGGAGTTGCATAACACGTGAGAGAAAAAAGGCGGTCACAGCGAAGTTTCAGTATCCAACTTCTCCCGTGAATATTCCTTTCTCCCAAAAAGATAGAGGCCTGGGCTATTCTGGATAAGCCACGCATTTGCTTCTCAACAATAGATGCATTTACTTTTTAATAGGCATTTGCCTTCATTAAATCTTTCACAGACAAGGCAGAATTCCGATCCGCCATCCAGTAGGGATAGATATAAGTTGTCTGGGTTTGGATCCGTCCGACTACTGTCTCCTTCACAACCTACCGCCACGACAACCAAATGGGCACGCCGCGACCCTACGAAAATTGCTGTTCCCTTTCTTCACTGTCCCATTGGTTGTTGAACAGAAGGGGCAGGGTAAAGTCCACGTCGAGAAATGCTCCAAATGTCGCACTTGGTCGCTGGAAACGGTCGCACTTGCCCTGATGAAAATTTCTTTAGGTTGTTGACTTACTAATTACAACTAGCACAGAGTGGCGTGGTTCCACTCATGCGGTGGTCGACTTACCTATGAGAAAAACGATTTAGTCGAAAGTTAGGCCAACATCAATCAAAAGTTCCACCTTACAACCTCGTGTTGGCACAGTAGAACGAAAACTGTCAAATTATGGTTTTTAGTATCTTCCCGTTTCACGCGCGCTATATCCTTTTCTCTGTGGGCGACGGGGCATCTTCTCATTTCTGCTAGTTGATCGGTGGTCTTCCTGTCGACGAATTTTGGGGAGTTGTACCTATGGAGGGGGATCAGGGTAATCTTATGGAGGAGGAAGTTTCCTTTGACGCCGGGTCCGACCCTGGAAAACACTTGACTAAGTACCAAAAATCGTAACTTTAGCCATCGGAGCGAGGGAATTCACCTCGGTGCATAGTTGGAGGAAACCACTCGGATCGCGCCTCTGTTTCCTTTCCCCCAAAAGGCGTAGGCCTAGAGCGCAGACAAACAGAGTCCCGGGGATGGTCCTGTAGAGAAGACTGGTCTCCACTAAGCCTAAGCCTTGATTAGGGGGAAAGAGAGGGTGTGGCCGAGTGATACCCCCCCCCACCTATGTTCGTATTTACGGCGTGGCCTTAAACGAGACTAATCAACCATTCAAAAGTTACAAGGTCAAATACAACCCCCGTATTCCTTCACAACTCTACACCCCCCCCTCACGCTTGCAGAAGCAGAGGGGGATGTGGAGGTCACCAACCAACTTCTAATTCGCTATCAAAGCAGTAATTGTATGGAAATCTGTAGCACGCACCAGCAATAGGGAACCACGGTAATTCTCCGAACGATCTGATTAGCGCCCGTGAAACTAAGAAAATCGGCTATCAAAATATTTTTCTCAGACCAGGTATGACCCCCTCCCGCCTCCGCGAGCCAAATAATACCCGCGCTCGCGGCCCACCAACACACGAAGTGCCCAACCTTGAAGTCCACTTCAAAGAGGGAGGGCATTATGCGAATGCAAAAGAATCGACGTTTTAAACAGTGCACTTTCTATCACTGAGGAAATTTCATGCGAAACACAACTTTCCCCCCCCCCCCCGCAGCCAAAGGTTCCTGCTCTGGTGTAGCCCCCTCCATCAACCTGAATTCCACCAGCTTCTATAGATTTTTCAGTTTTCCCCAATTTTTTTTCTATTTCTCTACTTTCCACCGAAAAATGTCGTCGAGGGGTACACAGCACATTTGAAACGAAGAGCGGAGAGTAGTTAATGAACAATAGTTAAGAACATTCTAAGGTATGGAAAATGACCCCCTCCCATCAGCGACCAAATACGAACCTTTCCCGCGGGGATCCCCATCGTACGACATGCCTAGGTTCTAAACCATTCCACCGGATACTTGCCCAATAGAGGACAGATGCTAATTTTACCCCCTGCTATGCTAATAAGTTTGGACGTGCGGTATGATCTTGGAGCCGGTCGACCTCGTTTCAATCGCCATCGGTCAGGGGGAAACCTGGCGTGCAATCGGTTGGTGGGGCTAGGCGGCAGCGCTCAAACGCAGGCGAACTCCTGCGGCTGGGTAACAAATCGACAACACGTGTTGCGCACATGCTTCGCTCCCCCACTCAAACCAACACCACTACCACCGTTACCATTGACGGATCGACCAATCGACCAGCCAACTGTCAACAATAAACAATGTAGCGTTTGTATCTGCACATAGCACGACACAGCTGTGATTACTCATGTTCTCCCCGCCGAAAACATAGCGGACAAGCGCAACTCGCAGCCACAATGTCCTTTAAATGGACCAATAGCTATGGACAACGCGTAAGAGAACGTTTCAATGTGAGCAACTTCGAGTCGGGGAGGTGCACTTTGCTCCCCTAGTGCCAGTGTTACAAGCTGCACCTCTGGTGACCTGTGAACTCCTGTGAAGCTGGAGCAAACTGGTCGAGCCACCATGGTTAAACCTGTCAACTCTTGCAAACTCATGAAAAAGCTATCTAGATGAGTTGTCACGTCGACAAGAAGTAGCAAAAATGCAAAACGCCCCCCTCTCGCCCAACTGCCCCGTCGGGGCCAAAAGAAAGGTAAGCGCTCAGAAACCACTGGGTAATGAAAACGGACTGGAATGTCGTCAACGAAGTTGCAAGCCGACTTTGTGAATCACCAATGGGGCCAGCCGTCCCGCCGCCTATGACTGAACGACTGTCGCCATTCAAATGTTCTCTATAACTGAACATGATTGGAGGGTTGCGGAACTCGTTGACGTTTACGATTCGCTGAACCAGCCAAGTGATTGCTGTAAAAAAAAGGGTACCGGGCCGAGTTTGGCGACTGTGGGCGGGGGGTGCATTTTGCACCTTCGTTGCTTCATTAGTTCCGGTTTACAAGACTCACTCTGTGTGAAGCCTGTGAACTCTTGAAGCCTGTGAACTGAACTGATGGCTGATGAGACGTAGCAAAAGTA